CTGGACAAGGTCCTGTGCAGCCTGCTGTAGGTGACCCTGCTTTGGCAGGAGGGTTGGACTAGATGACCCACAGAGGTCCCTTCCAACCCCTACCATTCTGTGGTTCTGTGGCTGTAACCATTGCTGGCTAAAACTTGCTTGCCTAACTGTTCTTCCTGTCAGTGTTCCCTTTCTCATTTAAGCCATCCCATTGAAATTAACAGGTTTGTTTAGGAAAGTAAGCATGGCAAGGACAGATCCACTCAGCCCTTGCTCTGTAAAGTCGTATGTGTAGTGAGCAACAAGAGGCATTGCTGGCTGGCGGAGCTGACGACTTAATCCTGGCAGCCCAGGATTTAAACTTGGATCCTGTTTGAGGAAAATGTTGGCTTACGCTTCTGCAGTAGAAGTCATATGATAACTCTTTATTTGTATATGCTATTGAGAGATCTGCCAAAACCGTTGCAATAATAGACATAATGTTTTCTGTGCCCAGGGATTTACTGATGGAGATTTGTCAAAAATTCAGTTTGGAGGAGCTAACGTGTCAGGATTTCAGATAGTTGACTATGATGATCCTCTGGTGTCAAAATTTATACAACGTTGGTCAACACTGGAGGAAAAAGAGTATCCTGGTGCACACACTAGTACAATTAAGGTATGTCTTATATTTGTTTTAACCATGACAGATGTACAGGAAGTAAGGGAATTGGAATAGAAAGATAAGAGACAGAGAAAGCCCTTCAAAGACAGCTGTGCTAACACAATTTTATATTTCTCTAGGGTACTTTTAACATTCTTTATCATAGGACTGGTTGAGCAAAGATACTGCACTGTCAAAAAAGTTCAAAACAACTTTAATTTTTCTTGTGTCACTGTAAATCTGTGCCTCACAGCTGGTTAGGTAATTGTTTTGGATGTGAAGGTGTAGTAAGTATCTACTGACTTTTTTCTTTTTATTTTTCTCTTCCTCTGTGTTTTGAAATGTTTTAAAGGCAAATATGTGGTCATACGTCGGCTTCCAGGGAGCACAGATCTAGCACTCTCTGATATAACATAATCTCACCCAGAGATGTTAAGACAGTTGCTTTGACAGATGCATAAATCATACAAAGACTTTTAAAATTAAATGGTATGCCTGAGGCACAGAATCATGGTCGGATTTCAGGCATGAGTGACGCAAGATGTGACACTGGACAAGTAATTAAACCTCCTTACCTCAATTGTCCCTCTGGATAAAACTGGGATAATAGTAACTTCTTACATTATGTGGCCATTATGAGGATCAGTTAGTGCTTGCAAAATGTTAAAAAGAATAATGCAATTTTAATGCTAAATAGTTGTAAGTAATAATCAGAAATTTTATTAGGAATGAGTATACTTTAACTAAAATGTGTTAAGACAAAAAGATACATGGCAAATGTTCTAGGTGTAACTATTTTGTGCTATAGTTTGAATATACATCATGTTCTTGATTTTTAATGAGATGGATAAGAATTTTCAGCAAGGAATGGAAGAACCATTTTTTAAACTTATGGAACAAAAATCCTGTAAAGTACACAACCTTAATTTAAATGAAAAAATAAAGTTTGTAAGTTCCCTTTTTCTGAGGCCAAATTTGTGGGTGATGTAGTCAAAGCTATGATTTTCCTGTGGTTATTTTTGTATTTTAAAATCTTTATGACAGAAAAAGTTAAATTTCCCATTTGATGTTTGACAAAATAAACTGGAGTCTGTATTATGCCTTTAGATGCATTCATATTACATATGTGTAATGTATGTATTGCTCTCCTTTAGGAAAAAGGGAAGGGATGTGTCTGTGGGTGATTCTTTTGTCTGATTCTACCTACCTACTAATGTTGCAGAATCATAGTCTGGAAATAGTCACAGTGAAATACATGACTAAAGCAAAAAAGTCTAACTGAAACCAAGATGCAGTTTTTCTCATTGATGGAAAAATAAATTGGTGGGACATAGTGCTAAGGATTCTGGTACCTCTGATATTACTTAAAGTAGGAGGGAAATTGCATGTATGTTAGATAAGATGAAGTGGTTTCAATGTTTGCAAGTTCATCACAGATACTCCCTTTATTCCTTACGTGATAGGTCCTTTAAAGTCTACTAGAAATTGAAAGGGTTGAAGGAGAGTATTTGGAATGTCATGTATTTTTGAGATTTAGTTTGTTAAGGGTAGGAAAAATAAATGAATTGAAACATTTATTTTCATGAATTTCGTTAACTTAAAACACATTTTAAATTAAATTTGAAAGGCTGATCTGTCTTCCTTTATATATTGTCTGCTCAAAGAATGCACAGGATCGCACTGATACTCAGTCAAGAGACTGAGACATGTTAAATTATCAGATAATTTATGAATGCTGGAAGCATTGATGGGGGAGGAAAAATGGATGTATATTGCAATGATTGGAGAGATTGATTGTATCAGTTACTGTATTTCTTTGTGTAGGTTTCTATGTTTTGCCCTTATACACGTATTACTTGACATTTTTGCCTGCCATTACAGCTAAGGGCAGAGCTGTGTCACATTTCATTCCCATCCTTGTGGAGCTAGAGGCAGAGCAGAATCACAGAAATCACAGAAACAGGGCAAGAAGGGTCTTTGAGCAGTCAGTCCGACCCCTGCCTGAAGGCAGAATCGGCTATACCTGTGCGGTTCCTGTGGATAGTGATTTCACAACTTCCCCAAGCGTTCTATTTCGGAGCTTAGCCTTAGTTTTCAGTCTTTGTCTAACCTAAATCAGCCTTTATATCACCTAATCCATTACTCTCGTATCTGTTTGTATATGAGGAAGTTCTCCTTTTTAGCTGTCCTGTATTTGACAATGGCTGCCGGAAATTCAGAAAGCATTTGATGTAGATATAGATGCCTAAGCAAAAGCATGCAATTAATGAATGCCTTCATAAGTGATATTCCATTGCAGCTGCTAAAGTTTTTTCAAGTAAATTATAGTGATTTATAAATAAGAGTTTAAAAAAATAGTTCATTCAGTATTTATTATCTGTTTTAAATAGGAACTGAACTAGAGTCAATTTTTTAATTGCCCATGTAAAACTGTAGGTTTGTGAGATTTTTCTGCCTACGTTTTCCAGTCCTCATGTTTTTGTCTGAGCATAAAAAATAAATACACATCTAGCAGTTAGCTTTCTAGCTACCAGGTTTCACTGAGCTTTTGAATCCCAATATTCGATCTTCTCTACTTGCAAAAATATATATGAAAATGTGCACGTAAGAAATTTCAGTGTTATACTTGATGCTTCTTTTTAATAGCTTAAGGCTCTCTTGCAGAAGTTATCACTCATTCCAGCATAGTTGGTTTGTTGTTTTTGGTTTTTTTTGTAAAGAAAACTCAATTAAAGAATGGAACATTTTAGCCAGTGAAAGCAGCGGGTGGTTTGAGGCAGTATCTGTAGATTTGTCTCAGATGTGCAGAGGGCCTGTTGACCCAGATCCTTCGATCCTGCAAGTAGAAGTGGCTGAACTGTGCCAAAGCAGAAGTGTTTGCCAGATTTCAGTGAACTACAGAGTCAAGTCCTGATATCCCTATGCAGCTCTGTTTCTTAGAAATTGAATCCACTTAATAATGATGTTTTTAAGGTTCTTCAGCCAAGAAAGTGCAATGGATTCCTCCTGCCTATTTTCCCAGGAACTCTTTATCTCTTTTTTCAACTAGCAATTCACCTGAATATGGTTGATATAAGCCAAAGAAAGCTACTATTCCTTCACGCTCCAAGTGTTCAGCAAGATCAGGCATACCTCTGGCCTCACCAAGATCAATGTCACTTAGGGCAGGAGAGCTTGATGGAAAAATGGAGATACAAGGAGAAGGAGGAGTAATGCACAAAGCTGAAAGTAGTAGGAGGAGGAATGTTTCATTCCAAAAAAGGGTCAGCAAAGTGGGAAGTACCTGTTGGTACATAAGGGGAAGGCATGCAAGGGTGGTGGCAGCTCTGAGCTGGAGAGGCATCTGTGTCAGAATGTTTCTTGGATCACGGGATTAACGGAGGAGGAGAAGCACTGAGGATCGCTTACGTGAACAGGGAGAGGAGATGTGCAGGCTTATTGTTGGGGCAAGGCTGGTATTAAGGACTAGTCAACACAGGTAGCTGCCTGTATTAGCCAGTATGGGGTGGCAGAAAAGCAGACATGAAGCGTTTATTATTCTGTGACAATAACTATTTCTTGGTAAAGTGAGCAACCTGGTAAGATTGGTGTATTTAGTTCTATTAGTATTTTACTTGGAATTAGATTGGAGCAAACAGGAGAAAGTGTTTAATCTTGAGACAGTAGGCAAGTACTTGTGCCAGTTGGGGTAGATGAGAATTCATAATAAAAATAGGGAAGTGTTGTAGTTTTTTGTTTGTTTTGGTTTTTTTTTTTTTCATTGTAGACTTGAATTACTATTAGTTTTAAATGGCAGGTTTCGGAAATCTTTAGAACACTTTAGTATGTATGATGAGAACTCTCAGATCCTGTTGACTTCCCCCTGCCCTCAATAAGTGAATTTGTGCAAGGTGTAGTGTAATATCAAGTCCAGCTACCTCTCCTACAGATTGTTATAGAGAATGACGATGATTCAGAATATATTAAAACCAAATTATAAAATCATTTAGTGTGGCTTTATTTAATAGACTAGTCAAAAATTTCAGTCCAAAGAATCTTCACATCAAATTCCAATTTAGAATCATTTCTATGGCAGTGTTGTTCAGCTTCTGGGGTAAATAATTTATTTCCATTAATGTATATAGGACTTTTTGTTACCTATTAGTAAAAATAATATAGCTGAAGAGCCTAATGGAATTTTCAGTTTCTTATCATTCATGTAGTATCAGTCTTTTTATAAGACAGAGTGATCTAATCTCTCTTCTACTATTTTCATTGGTTGCAGAAATCACAAATTATTCTACTAGAAAATGATCTAGAATACATTTTTATGATCATCTCAATAACTTTCTTCTGGTTAAAACCTCAACTCACCAAGGATATTTACCATAGTTAATAATGCTTGGATGGCCATTTTTATCATAAGAAGAGCAGCAATTGAAGACAGTATTTTACTAAATATTTTAGTAAAAGAGCATTTTGTATGTTAAAACTTGTATCTGAAGTATGTCACATGCTTCCTGATTTATGACTAACCTTTATTTTAGAAGAGGAAGTGACTTTTGTGATAGAACATAGTAATTTAAAGAGATTCAAGTGTAAAGCAGTTAAAAAACAGACCAAAAAAAACCCCCAAAACCCCCACAAAACAATAAACAACCAGCCCCCCCCCCAAAGAAACTCCAAGACTCCCCATTTGAACACTTTAAGCATTCACAGTAGCTCTTTCAAATCCATTTCTTACAGCGTGATTTTTCAGATTAGTCTTTTGCCTTCCTATTTGTACATTTTATTCTCATCCTCTGCTTTAAATTTTCCTACTTGGTCTGTTTCCACGATTATAACCATAGGCTTAATTTTTTGCTTTTGGATACTGGAGACTTTTAACACTGTGAAGTGACATACTTTCCTCTGTCCTAGCCTTGAAGAAGAAGGTTTTTAGGTAGTCATATGGTGACAGTTGAAAAGGCATAGGTTCTTTGTGGTTTACAGTAAATTAAAGGTGTTTTAATCATCAGTGGCATTGCTATTTTGCA